ATGACTGTTGTATTAAAATAATTAATTTATGTTAAATTTAGGATGCACTAGTCTAGCTGTTTCAGTTTATAAACAGTATATCAAGGCTGCTCAAAACTTTTCCCCAAAATAAAACTATATCTGAGGGCTGCGGCCAAATGCAGTAATATAATTCATGAAATACAAATACTCCTTAAGTACAGTCCTTTTATGAATGATGTCCTGCTGGAGTGTGACATGATTTGTTTGTGTACAAACTAATATGGTATCAGAATTTTGTATATTTATACTTCTCATTCAACCACAATTACATTCACTCTATCTAGGAGACACAATTTATACTGTATATAGTATTTATTTTCACAATAACAAGCTGGAATGAAAACAAGCAAAAATGAAGTAAAAGTAACAACTTTCTACTYATTGTCTTTTTAAAAAATGTAGTGAGTAGAAAGTACAGATAATTGTGTGAAAATGTAAGAAGTAGAAGTAAAAGGTAGGCTGAAAAATAATTAACGTACAGATCCCCGAAAATTATACTTAAGTACAGTAAAGAAGTATTTGTATACTCATTTACTTTACAACTCTGATGTAGCTGGTTCAGGTTAACATACTGCTGTTGCACAAAAGAGCAATTACAAAATATTTTCTTGCCACAGAATTTCATTCAGGTCACTAACATGTTGAGAAGCTCTGAACAGTGAAGCAGTTCAAAGCTGCTCCGACCACAGAGGAGCTCCTGTCAGATGAAAACATTTCATGTGACCCAATGTCACTTTTTGAAAGCAGCTAACTCTGCTCTGCACATCCACAACAAGCCACCTCTGCATCTGTTCACACTCATCAGGATTCATCAGCGGAGCGAGCAGCACCCTGACAACAGGACCATCATGATGCCATCATCCGAGCGATGCCAGGCCGAATCACAGCCTCCGTGCTCATACGTGACCCGGCTGAATAATCTCTGACCCACTTTACTGCATCTGGACGGGCCTCGGTCTGGTGTACTACGGACGGCGAGCGGCCCTGTTCTGGAAACGTACGGTTAAATTAGCTGAGCACGAAGAGAAAAAGGCTTTTAGCTGTCACAATGTTCACACTGCTGATGGGGAGATCTGTCAGGAAGTTGTGTTTGTCTCCATTTGTTCACAGTGAGCACAATTTAAAACATACATGACATAAATTCGTGAACGGAGCAGTTTCTTGTTCGTTGGGACAAAACACGCTGATCATAACTAAAATATGTGACTCGTTATAGAACTATGATGAAATGTGGCTATTGGAATGTATTTTTTAATTTATGTAATATACATATTTATGTTTTTCTCCAAATTAAATCTAAATGTTTAGATTTAATTGTAGTGCTAATTAACACATATCAGCTATTAACAAGACTGCAGACTTTATGGATTTTTTTTACGTTGTTTCTTCTGATTTTTAAATAAAATTTACAGTATTGTTTTCCAAATCAGTGTAACATTCTTGGTGAGGTCATGACAGAGGAATGCCTGCAACAAGCTTTGGTCGGGGGTTTAAAAACCTCAGAGAAACCAGTGAGGGATAATTTGTTTTGATTTTGCTGAAGTCATCTGAGACTGCAGCTCTCATTACAGACTATCAGCGTGTGTTTTTTTTTTTTTTCACTTTTGGCTCAAAGCCACTCCCCTCCTTCAGCATTTTGCTCTTCCTGCTGTATGTGCTCCAACTTAACGCCAGCAGCAGACACTTTGCTGCTCTGAAGCTTAAACAGYGTCACAGTAATGAGAAAAAAACATCCACTAATACTTACCCAACCCGCCTTTTTTTCCCTTGGCTCTCTGAATTACCCATCACTGCTGCTGCTCTTCATCCCATCAAAACAACAGTGAAAACACATCACATGCTTTGTGTCTTTATTATGAATGTAGCATAATAGTGCCAGCTCATCGTTGCAGTTGACTATTATCATACATGAATAAAAATCCACAACATGCCAACAACCACAGAGATTATAGAGCCCAGTGGGGGCTGGCTACATAAGTCTAACTCAACTAGAAGATTATCACAATATTGGCATTTCTATCTGCAGGATACATACAGTCGATTACAGTTACATTTACCTTATAAGGACAAAATATATGCAGTTTGCAAAACTGTCTGAAAAAGAAGCCAAGTTGTTGGAAATCACAGTGAGAATCACAGGTAGATAAAGGTTAGTTAAAAAACACAGCAGGTATTTTAGAATATCAACCAAAAATGGAAAAAAGGGGGTTTAAAATGGGTTCTCCACTGTGAAGCTAATCATACTGAAACTTAACATTCCCAMCCACAAAACCATATTATTTTACAAATCAGTTGCCAAACAGATCATTTGGTTCTGTACACAACAAAACGGACCACACGTATAAATGTTGACACATTCTGAAGAAAAGAAATCAACTTTTAGTGGGGCTTTGAAGGGATTTAAAGGCTACAATGTGTTTGTCTTAAAAGGACAGAAACTGAGGTTGCAGACGCATCTGTGGCGACAATAACAAGTGATTGGATTTGTTAACCAAATAACGATGCCCACACACACATGCAATTTGAATTTGTTAGCTGAGGAGGCAAGAGCATGAGTTGGACTGGAACTGATCTTTTTACAAACGTTATAAAAAAGGGTGGATAATGCAGGTAAACTGGTTTTTAGTGTAAAATGAGGGTGTTTTTGCTACAGTGAGGGTTTTTTTCCCCCTTTTTCTCAGATCACAGTGGTAAGTTGTGTAGAGCAGATAAAACAGTAAAGTTGCTGGAGAATAACACGTTTCATGTTCCTCGTCCTGACGACTCCGTGTCAWAGTCTTCACTTCTTTTATTTGGCACGTGGGTTTTTTTTCCTTGCAGTAAAAACTGCGCTGTCTGCGCGAGACTTCCCGTAATCCTTTTCCGTCTTAGCGCCCACAGCTAGTCCATTCTAAGCCCCTCTTTCATCCTCTTTTGCCACTCTTTTTTGTTCGCACACCAACACAGGATGTGGGGCATTTTAAAGTCACAGAGAACAGTCTGAAACAAGAGGTTCAAAGTGTTTCTTCTCTGCAAAGGGGAAAAAAAAAGGACGAATCTCAGCTGTTTCAGTCCAGTGCAAGACAAATCCTATCCCCTCTGTGTGTGTGTGTGTCTGAGGGGATTTATTAGCAAGCTCGTTGGTGCAGTGAAGGGTGGGCTTGGCAGACATTTTGTTGGGAGTTGCATGTGGAGCTGGCTTCTATRTTTTCTAGTCCTTCCCTGGAGTTCAGCAGGTAGTGACAGGATTCTGAAAGGATTGGCCAGAAAAGCAAGAGGAGACTCGTTTGTTTCCTCCCTCCTCGACTCGGACTGAGAGCAGCAGCATGTGGACAGTTTATTTCTTCCATTACCATACAGACTGTACATATATTACAGAAATATAAGTTAGCACTGTGTATWGGGAGCGTGTTCGTCACAGGTCCAGTTAACGACTTAGGCGGTAAAGATGGTGGTGCAGGTGTGGGCCAGATGGGTCAGCTCCCGTGGATTCATCCTGTGTTGAAACTCAGGTTTTCACATTTACTAAAAAAAGAAGAGGCGTATTAGTCAGAGCTATACATCCTGCATCTTTATCTGGATATATAAACTTTCACAGATCCACAGAGGACAGTTACATAATGAGAAAAACAAGGTTTGCCGAGTCCCAGAGGTGCAAAACTCAGCCCGTGTCTACAACTGTTCTAGTCATTGAGCTAATTAGAACGTGTCTTGGCCTAATGAGACCCAACAGGCAGAGCTGCAGATATCAGCTTGAACTAAAAGAAGCTCAAATAAAAAGSCAAAWAGTTGTTTAAAGAGTTMATTCAGACGTCTCATCTGTGAGGTTTTGTGGAAAGATTATACTTGTCGTCTATCTTTATATCTATGGCAYCAGTTAGCGCAGATGCTAACTTAGCATTAAAGATGCCATAGAAAAGCTAAAGTGATTAGCTTTGTGTTTATCCCTGGGAATTTATACCAGATAAATTTAAATCTACACATTTACAGATATGCTGAATGTGTTATTTAGGGTTCAGCAAAAAAAAAAAAAAAAAAAAATTAAACAATTACTACAGGAATCTACGGTAACTCTAAAAGGACAAATTGCATCGCTCAGCAACGACCTCCTGACCCTCTTGAACAAAATAAAACTGTGACATCTGAAAATACATTTTGAATTCTCCGTGTCTAAGATAAAGCTCAATGTATTTTAAATATATAAATTAAATATATTTTATCTCACACCCCTAATGGATGTGTGCACATACAGTATATGTCAACGCCTTTGTACATGCACCTGTACAAAAATCTGTAATTGCCTCAAATAATCATCAGTACTCTCACATATAAGAGAGAGAGAGTGTGTGTGTGTGTGTGTGTGGGGGGGGGGTGTCCACCAGTGAGGAACAACATCGCCCACCCCCTTCTTCTTCCTCATTAAAAAAGAACAGCCGAGGACGCTGTCAGAGTCTCAACTCAAGGAAAGCATTGATTTTGTGGCACGACACCATTGCTGCGGAGCGGCAGAGCAGGTTATTTAATTTGATTTATTTCTTTTTTTATTTTTGCTTTTATTTGTGTTTTTCACATCCTATGTTATCTGAGACGTAAAATAAATTTGAAGCTGTGTTTTTGAGAAAAAAATCAGAGATTTGAAAAAACAATCTGAGATTTCTCCACACGTCCTACAACATGGGAGAAAATCTGTGTAATTTATGGACAATCCCGTACACGTTGAGATGTATGTGTGCACAGATTAGATTTACTTAACCCTATTTCTCCAAACAGAAATTATTCAAAGCGTTATCTAAAGCTGGTAAATATTCACGACCTTTCCACAAAACCCCACTTGAAATCATTTGAACCTTGGCTTTGACTGACTTGACCTCTCGTGTGTTTCAGCACATACCCTAGTCCCAACCTATGCGAGTGACTGAAATAATCACTGTTTTGTTATCAGATGCCTTTTTATTCAAAAGGTGCATTAAAATGTACATTTTCTTTCTTGTGAACGTGTCAACAACTCACTGGCATACATCGTTTACAGTCAGGAACAAGACTTTACATTTGGTACAGGCAAACAGTAAGGTGTGGAGCAGACAAACACACATCACTAACAGAGGCATGCGGTGGATTAAAACTTCACAGACTTGAGTCGGATTTAAAAGCAATCAATGTGCTCCGATCTTTGTGTTTTTAAAGGGTTAAAACGCTGCACTGTGTAAAGATTCATGCAGTCGCTGGAGATGAGGCAGTGTTGTGCAGCCAGATTGTAGTCAGGTTATGTTATTATAAAATAAGGAATAAGGAGGGAAGTAAAAGAGTAACGTTCAGAGGAAAGAATCAGCTGTAGATACACAGAGGAAAAAGGTGTAGTTTAAAGGTCAGATTTGGGACACTCACTGGCCAGGTTGACAATGCAGGCGATGATTATGATCGTCCCTCCCACTAGTGACACAATGGAGAGCATTTTGGCCACACGTCCCAAACGCACGGCGCCGTCCAGGTTTCCCTGCTCGAGGCTGTTCTTGGACTGATGGGGAAAGTCAAACCACGCTGTTAGATTCTGATTACACCAGAGGCACGAGCGTGCCTTCTGCRTGTCCTGCTCTTACCATGATGGAGTAGACAAAACCAACGATGTTGATGGGCCACACGGGACAGAAGCAGGCCAGCACAGACAGGAGGAGGTAGTCTTTGACCTTGGTCCGGTCCAGCGGCGGGTTGGTGGCGATGCTGGAGTGGCGAGATATTATCGACGGCCTCGGCGAGAAGGCGGTGTAACCGATGGAGCCCGCCCTGCTGCCCTTCCTGGTCTTGGCGTGATGAGGGTGAGGGTAGGAGATGGAGTGTTGCCTTCTAGGAGGGGAGGAGATGACGGGAGAGGTGCTCTCTGCAGGCCCAGGGTGGATCCCGTTACCTGCACGTGAATACAGACAAGGACAAACAAAAGTTAATGTGTGTTCTCCCGTGAGCTCAYATGCAGTGGGATTTGACTTTCACTGAGTTAGCTGAGTAAGCAGCTGCATGACCCCTACCTCAGTATGAGGTCACTCAGCCACTTACCGTTCTTCAGTTTCTCGTTGATGACTATCACAAGCTCTCCTCTGGATTTGCTGCGGGGGGGCCCTGCGCTGGCTGGCCTGCTGCTGTGGAGTTCTTCGCCCATGGCGGCTGGACACGGCACAAAGACGGGGSCTTGGCCTGAAACACAGCCCTCCTGGTCCAGCAGTGACGGTTGTTCCTCCCCCGGCCAACTGGCAGGAGCTGCCGTCGTGTTCACAGCCATTCTGTCAACAAAGTCAGGCCTCTGATTGTGGTCCAGTCCTGTGTGTGCTCTTTATGGGTCCACCTGAACGAGCAGAAAATACTTCAAAGCTGTAAACAAAGGCTGCGCACTGGCTTCAGTTTAAAGATTGTACAATAATTGTGTGTGTGTGTG